AGGGTGAGTGTTAGGTGGAGGGTTAGGTTGAGGGTTAGGTTGAGGGTTAGGTTGAGGGTTAGGTTGAGGGTTAGGTTGAGGGTTAGGTTGTGGGTTAGGTTGAGGGTTAGGTTGAGGGTTAGGTTGAGGGTTACGTTACAGCGCGCTTCTGTCAGCGCGCTTTTGTCGGCGCGCTTTAGGGCTAATTAGTCGCTAATTCGTCGCGCGGTTTTGTCACCGCGCTTTAGACACTGCGGTTTAGTCAGGCGCGCTTTTGTTGTGCGCGCATTTGTGGTGGAACCAATTTATATTGATATTGATTGTTTCCTGATTGCTTATTGGTACCCTATGACTATCATTAAGTGTTGTACCTTATGATTCTTGATGAATGTATCTTGTCTTTTTATGTACACTGAGTGTTTATGCACCAAAGACACATTCCTTGTGTGTTCAATCACACTTGACCAATAAAAAATTCTATTCTATTCTATTCTATTCTATTCTATTTCATTTAGGAGGCTGTGAAGATGACTTAGATCAAGCTAAGTCCAAAACTGCTAGGGAATTCCTGGAAGGCAGGCGTTCAGACAAATCGGCTATCAACAGGCACATAGATATGAACAACGTCTACACACCATGAAAAGACATCTACGCGCCATCAAAAGACCTCATCAAAAAGTTGAAAAGGAAACACAAAGAGCACCACGACCCCTTGCCAACAATCAACACTCAGATAAACAGTGATTAATACCAAAATTAACACTAAGCCAACAGCCAAGCTCTAAACAACACCACAAAGAACTACTAACTCAGAACAAACAATCAAACAGTAAATAACAGCCTAATCAAGGAACCGCCAAGAACAATTCCAACACTGAAAGGGCAAGGCACTGTATATAAAGAGAGAACAAAGCCCATTCCCTTTTAACACTGATGATGTTATCCCGTTGGGTCATCAAATGTCTACAAGAAAACATCCAACTCCGATCAAAAGTACATTTTCGGGAAGCAACTGGACTTTCTTGTTTTTCTTTGAAGACGTTTCCCTTCTCATCCGAGAAGCTTCTTCAGCTCTGCCTGGATGGTGCAGAATGGACGGATCTCCACCATCCAGTCAGAGCTGAAGAAGCTTCCTGGATAAAAAGGAAAATGCCTTCAAAGAAAAACAAGAAAGTTCAGTTGCCTCCTGAAAAAGCACTTTTGGGAGAACCGGGACCTGGTTGACTGAGAATCTCCATAGAAATCCAGCTCAGAGAACACTAAGGAGTTCACAGTCCTCCTCCTCCCTCTCCCACCCCCATTCCTTTCTAGCACTGATGGCGTTAGCTAGTCGGGTCGTGAAACATCTGCAAGAAAACAATCAAGCTCAGAGAGCACCAAGGACTCCCCAGTTCAACCATGAGCTCAAATATTCCATTCGGTTGGTTTTATTGTACAATACTTATAAGCAATATTGTGTAATGACCATAGTGTATTTAACTTGAACCATTGTGAACTCAAATTTTTGCTACAATAGGCTCTGCTCTTAAGTATCAGTCATGCTTAAACTAGGTTGTCCTTAACCTGAGGATTGGCTCCATTCCATACAAGGGGAATGCTGCTGCTTTTAGAGATCAACACCCATACAATAAATATGCATATGGGACTGCCCCGTGGGCTGCTATGGAATCGGCGGCAACTTGAGACTGGCGTCCCTTAACCCAAACCCAGTGGTGGGATTCAGCCGGTTCAGGCTGGCTCAGGCAAACCAGCTGTTAAATTGCTGACTGGCCCTGGCCCTTCTTACCCCGCACTTTCCAGGAGTCCCCACATGCCCCATTTTGGCTCACGGGTAAGTGCAGAGAGGCCTGCTAGGTGAGCAAGTCCCCCCTTGCCTATGGCAAGACTAGAACTCACCGTCACCTAGTTCCTAGTTTCTGCCTTTCACAAGAGTGCTTTCTTTCTCTCTGACTAAGGTCATCTTAGCACCCCTTTATTAGAGGGACTTTCCTTGATTCTCTGGCTAATATGCATTAATGCAATAGAAAGATGGTTATATATAGGTAATCCTTAAAACCTATTGTCTCCTGGTGATTGGGCCAAATTCAACCAGCCGCCTTTTATGCCTAAGGCGGGACTAGAACTCAATGTCTCCTGCTGATTGGACCAAAGTCACCCAGCCTCCTTTCATGCCTAAGGCGGGACTAGAACTCAATGTCTCCTGGTGATTGGCCCAAAGTCACCCAGCCAACTTTCATACTTAAGGCGGGTCTAGAACTCAATGTCTCCTGGTGATTGGCCCCAAATCACCAAGCCTCCTTTCATGCCTAAGACGGGACTAGAACTCACAGTCTCCTGGTGATTGGCCCAAAATCACCCAGCCTCCTTTCATGCCTAAGACGGGACTAGAACTCAATGTCTCCTGGTGATTGGCCCAAAATCACCCAGCCGCCTTTTATGCCTAAGGCGGGACTTGAACTCAATGTCTCCTGGTGATTGGGCCAAAGTCACCCAGCCAACTTTCATAGCTAAGGCGGGACTAGAACTCAATGTCTCCTGGTGATTGGCCCAAAATCACCCAGCCAACTTTCATAGCTAAGGCGGGACTAGAACTCAATGTCTCCTGGTGATTGGCCCAAAGTCACCCAGCCAACTTTCATACCTAAGGCGGGACTAGAACTCAATGTCTCTTGGTGATTGGCCCAAAGTCACCCAGCCTTAACCACTAGACAACACTACCT